TTGGGAATGTGGCCTGATTCCAGTGGTCCTGGTAGGCATTGGGAATGGGACACACAACATTCCATGCATTCACTCTTAACTTTGTCATGGAAACATCCCTTTAAGCCAAGAGAAGTCTCCACACCACCACCCCCTATCCCTGCATGATGCATTTCTGATCTCAGGGCTTCCTAATAATGGCCAGCACTGCTTCATTTTGCTTGCAGGAGCCCTTCTGTCATGTGTGAGATTTTCATCAGTTACAGCATCTTTGCAGCACTTAATTGGATGCTATGACTGCTTCTTCTCAGTCTCAAAGTCTTTTATAGACAAACTATAGCCTCTGCTCTCCTTAATACCTATACTCACACACTTCCTCCCAACCCTCCCTACACATGGTAGCTCAAGTCGTGTTGGTATTGGGTGAAGGAGGCTGGGGAAATGGACTGTGTGATCACACTTACTCTATGACTGTCACATTCCTGTGCCTTATTCTTACCCTACACTCTTGTGAAGTCACATGATTCTCACAAAATCTGGAAGTATATCTTCATGGAGAGTGCAACTGCCTGATGAGATTTGCTTTGCTAAAAACCAACGTATTGTATAAAAACCCGTGCCTCAAAAAAAAAAAAAAAAAAAAACAAAACAAAAAACAGTGCTCCATTGTATAAAAACCAACACCCATTTCTTGGAACAGATAGTAAAGCAAAGGAGAAAATATTTATTGGCTAGAGTTCGGGGCTGTGCTACAGGAAGGGCTGTTACAGAGAAACATTTGCCATGCTATGCCACAGTGCCATGCCACAGTGTAATATAGAAAGTGAGATGAAGTTCTAAATGAACAGGCTAATGAGAGAAAGTGATGTTCAGAAGAATTTGCCATTTGGTGCCCATTAGCTACATATGTGGTAAAAGTGAAATACAACATAGTTCACTTTAAATCTTTGAATTTGAGTCAAATGGTAGACATTCTGAGTATTTCCATAGCTAACTTTCTTGGCTCTCTCTACTCTCTTCTAGAAATAATACAAAACTCTTAGGAATTATTTGCAGGGAATACATACAATATTATATCTTATATTGAGCAAAGAATAATATAAAAACTAGAGAGAATAATTAAAGCTTAAATTTTTGATGGGAGTAGAAAATGTATTACTAGTAGACTGCAGTGAATCGGGGTTCAGGGAGATGGGATGGAATTTTGACTAGAAATGGTAACTATTAGATGCCACAGAAAGGAATATGGAGATATGTAAACTCCAGTGAGGTCCAAATGAGTATGCACCTGACTTCTTCTAAGTCAGTCATTGTAGAACTTACATAGTACAAACCTCCAAGGCTCATGCTTTAATTGTGAGATACCGTGGCCTGAGGACCACCACCATCACTCAAAGCACCCAAAGCAAAGTTTCCTGCGGCACTCACCATGTTGCCTGACACAGCTGAGCACTCCTGTCCCCATCCAGAGGTGCCCTATAAAAATTTCTGCCTCTGCTAAAAGTTTCTACTTGCTTGAAAAAACTTTCTTTTGTGATTTGGAGACTGGGCTTAGATTACTGATGAGAGTAAAAACAGCCTTTACTGTCATAGTTTATGATGTGGTCTGTTCACCGTGTGTGCAGTTAGATGAGCAAACCTCTTCTCCGTGGCCTCTTCTATGGCTTTCTGTGACCTGCTGTTCTACCCCTTCCACTCACAGAGCCCTACTTCGTGGACATACACCTGAGAATCTGTCCCTGGTTGTCTCCACATAAGAGGGCCTCATTCCTCTTATTTCTGATGCACAACAAGAAGGCTTGAAAGTAAATGCCTCCTAGGAATATCTGTTATGAAAGCAGCTTCTAGAAAATAAAACCAGTTTAGCCTGTGAATAAGATGAATTCTGACATAACAGTTATAACAGAGTTACAAAAATCCTTTAATATATAATTCCTGGGGAACTTGGGTGGCTCAGTCAGTTGGGCATCTGCCTTCAGCTCAGGTCATGATCCCAGGGTCCTGGGATCTAGCCCCTCAGTCAGGCTCCCTGACGAGTCTCAGCAGGGAGTCTGCTTCTGCCTCTGTCCCTCCCTCTTGCTTGCACTTGCTCTCTCAAATAAATAAAATCTTTAAAAAATATATCTAATTTCTGAGTCTAGATTGCTACTTGTGGCTAGAAACTTCTATAACCAGCAAGCCATAAATGGAAGTAGAATCACAATTGATGGATTTTCTGACTTTCAGTGCAGTTATCATAAGTAATGGTTTCATTCCAAATTCTGTTATTTGCCCTAACTGATATGGAAATCTCACGGTTATTCAAGCCAGGCAGTTCCTGCTTGTTTCATCTGTCTCTTTCCTTGTGTTCATTTGTTCATTGGATCAGCCCACTCCTGCCTCCACCCTTCTCTTCATTTATACCTGGATGCTTTTCTCCACCATCCCTCCTTCCACTCAGAGCCGAAGCAGTTCCCCGACCAGCTTAGTTGTTTCTTGCACCTTCTCTTCATTAAGCTTTTCTCTTTCCTCACCCTGTAACTCCTGTTTGACTCTCATTCAACACTTCACTTTGTGGAATAATGTGAACATTTTATTTGCATATTCAGGCACTTATTTCTATTCAGTCATTGGTTGCCATATTTCTCTATACCTCTGGAAGCCCCTCAGGAAAGAATGTGTCTTCTTAACTGTGTAACAGCATGCACACTGAGGGTCACTGAAGATCAAGTGTCCTACTCAGAAAAATTCATCAGCAAGCTCTGAGCCTTTTGGTAAGGTTCTCTGAGAAGATTAGCCGGAAGTATGTAATTGTGCAACTGAATTGTGTGAGCCAAACTGTCAGAGGAGATGAGCAAGGGATGTAGCCTATTAGAGGTGAGATTATGTAAGTAGAAAACCTTTCATCCATGGACTTCAGAATACAATACCCAGACCTAACCCCTGATGAGGTATTTGGAAATCTCTCAGAGAGAGGCTGAGGAACCAAAGCAGACCCCTGAAGTGATGGAAGCTATGGGGGAGAACACAGAGGAGAGAGGAGCCTGGGCTTCTGGACTCAGCAGGCGTTCTACTTTGCTCCTTCTCCCAGGGCTCTGTTGGGGTCATTAGGAATCAGGCTACAAATAACAAGGTGACCTGTAGGTCAGGCCTCAGGAAGGTCTGCATAACCTTACTCCAGTGTTGCTGCGTCTTTGCCATTGAAATGACCCCTCACGTCAAAGGAAATTTGTAGAGCAAATAAAACAGCAGGATGACTTAAATCACTATGAATATTTCTCTTCAATTAGGCACTGTTCCCTTTCTTCAGGCCTTGTTAATCAGGCTTAGGGTAAGATTGTTCACTATGAGATTCATCCTGTTTCTCCCCGTTTCTTCTGTATACAATTTTCTGGTCACTGTACTTCAAAAAGGAAAACAAAAAACCACCACAGAGTAGTTGAAGAAGGTCCAGAAGAGAACCAAATATGAGAAAAAAGGGCTGCCAGATAAGACGATTCTAAATTAATGGGGATCTTTAAAAAAAAAAAACAGTAGGGAATTATTTATAACCTAAAATTTACCATTTCTTAGTGTATAATTCAGTGGCATATAGTACATTCACAATTTGTGCAGCGGTCACCATCATCCATTCCAGGACTTACTCGTCATCCCAAAGTAAAACTCAGTGCCCTAATTAAACAGTAACTCCCAATTTTCCTATCTCCTCATCCCCAGCAACTACCATTCTATTTTCTGTCTCTATTATATTGACTCTACTAGGGACCTCATCTAAGTGAAATCATGCAGTATTGGTCCTTTTGTGATAGATTTGTTTCACTTAGTATAATGTCCCCAGGGTTCATCCATGTTGAAGCATGTCAGAATTTCTTTCCTTTTTAAGGCTAATATGTCATTATATATATAGACCACATTTTGTTTATCATTCACCTGCCGATGTTTTCACCTTTTGGCTATTGGGAATAATGCTGTTGTAAACGTTGATGTACAAGTATCTGAGGCCCTGCTTTCAATTCTTTGGGGTATATACCTGGAGGGTGGGAGGTTGGAATCCCTGGATCACATAGTAATTCTGTGTTTAGCTTTTTGAAGAACTACCAGAATGTTTTCCACAGGAGCTATACCATTTCAAGAAATGTTCCCAACAGCAATGCATGAGAGTTCCAATGTTTCCTCATGCTGGCCAGCATTTGTTTTGTTTTGTTTTGTTTTGTTTTTAATACTTGCCATCCTAATCGGTATGGAGTGGTATAAATGGGGACTTTTCTACTTGGAAGAAACAGACCGAGAGGACAAGTGTAGGCCTGTAGTTGTGAGGATTTCAGCTGAAATATACACAGATGTGGTCACCAGACTCTAACATTTTGATACCTGGGCAACGAGGAGTCAGGAGTATTTAACAAACAACATAGCGTGGGTTTGAACAGTCCCAAAGGCCACCAGCCCTTCACCTTCCTCAGATGTACAGGCTAAATATCAGCTTGGCCGGGGACTCTATTGAAGTAAATTTAGAAAAATGAGAAAAGGATCTTCCTAGACCAATTGTTTTATCCCATGATGGACACATGAGCTCACTAATAGGTGGTTAAGAAAAACTATGAATTCTGTATAATTCACCCCTATACTTTTGAAGCTGATGTTAGAGAAGATGATTGTGCCTCACTTCCTACCTTAAATTTAACATGCCATCCTGCATCTGAAGCTCCCTGGCTCCTCTCAGAATTCCTTGTGGCCCTCACAGAGGACTGAAATTACAATTTTAATTATTCAGCCTTCACCAGATACTTATGGTACACTGACCATGTGCCAGACCTCAGGATAAGTGCTCCAAATAGAATGGAGAGCAGAGCAGACCCTGTCTTTGTACAACTTCATGGAGCTGCAGTTCAGTGTGATAAATCAGATCACTTATCACACAAAGAGATTTGTAATTCCAAACTGTATTTAGCTCTATAAAGGAAAAAATACCTGTGATATTTCTCTTTTTTCCTTTAGGTCGTTCACACAACCTCTCTAAGAAATCTGCTTTCTTTTCTTTTCAGGAGCCTTCAAACAGGTGGCTTTGCCTGGGAGGGAGAGGTAGAGAACAACGCGTATAACAAGGCTACAGGGGTGGTCCCTCAGCACAAGTATCACCCCACTGCAGGCAGTTACCAACTCCATTTTGCTCTGCAGCAGCTTGAACAACAGAAACTTCAGTCCCGACAGCTTCTGGACCAGAGTCGAGCCCGGCACCAGGTAATTCAGATAAGGCTTTTCCTTATGCTAGTCTCTTTCTTCTACAGGGGGAGTGTGCGGGGGTGGGGAAGAAGGTCAATGCGAAGGGTAGGAATAGTTTCCCAGAAGTTTACCAACACCACCATGGCTTGGATGGTTCATAGAGAATCTACTCTAAGGGAAGTCATGTTCTGAAGCCATGATGTTAGCTTTGCTGGGATGTAATGCTGAACCAGTTTTGACATTTTCTTTAATTTGAATGTTTCTCTATAGAAATCTCTGTTGTGGCATTTCCCCCTTTCTGCTGCATGGTGGTAGTTCAGTAAGCTCCCAGGAAGTCGAATTTCCAAATACCTAAAAGCTAGCATTTGAAGCAACTTTTTTCCTAAATGTACTACTTCCTTATCTTTACACACTTGGTGTACATAAGCACATATTAATCCTTCGTGACCTGTTGAGACTTTCAAGGCATAAATAATGTTTCAAGTTCTTTTCATAGGAAATGGTCATAAGTTTGGTTTCTGGTCCTCTGGTTTGATAGTACACAAAACAATGTACATGAAAATGGGACAGTATACACAAAAATCCTCACTGTCTGGGATCCCTGAGTGGCTCAGCAGTTTAGCGCCTGCCTTTGGCCCAGGGCGTGATCCTAGGGTCCCAAGATCGAGTCTTGTGTCGGGCTCCCTGCATGGAGCCTGCTTCTCCCTCTACCTGTGTCTCTGCCTCTCTCTCTCTCTCTCTCTCTCTCTCTCTCTTTGTGTCTCTCATGAATAAATAAATAAAATCTTAAAAAAAAATCCTCGCTGTTGTGACATTTACACTCTAATGAAACACTGATTTCCTATTCACCATCTCTACAATGACAGAAACTCCTGAGTATATGTGTGAGGGAGCTGTGTAAGTGAATTGTACTAGTGTGTCAGTGTGGCCCACATTACAGAGAAAGGATGACTTCACACAAAAAAAATCAGGCCATATAGAGTTAACTTTTTCTTGATGATTTCAGGGTAATCATTAGAATCCATTATTGTGTTCTACATGTTCTTTTGGCCTAAATCAGTACTGATTCTGTGAGCTTCCCTTTTATTTGGTTACATGAAGAAATATATCAGTCTGATCTCTTGTTATTTGCTCCTATAAAAATGTAGTGCATATTGTGCATTAGTTTGTACAAAATTAATATTCACTCAAAGGCTAAAGCAGTGTTTCCCAAAAGTTTCCCCCCCCTCTAAATAAATCAATTATCATTATTCTCTCTCTCTCTACTTAATCTTTTTAACTGTTGTTCAGATCCAGACATTATTTCAATTTCATTCATTGCTTGCTCATCCTTTTCTATGCTGGCATACTCTCTATATTATATTAACTCAATGTAATTGAGAAATTGTAAGTATAGGTAGTTGTGAAGTAGTTCCTGTAAGTCATTTCTACTCAAGGAAAATCCAGAATTCTTACCTGGAAAACATGGAATGTAGCATCTCAATTTGATCACCACACTGCCCTCTATCATGTAGAAATTTCCTCATTTAGAAAGTCTTAGGGATAGGCAGTTTACATTTTCACAATTTTAGATATAAATGTGTACTTTAGTTCTTTTTTAAATCTGTGTAAATTTCTTAAAACTTGTGAACTTCTAAACTCCTCATCATTCAGAATTCTTAAGAATGCCAGCTTCATCAGATCCTGGGCAGGAGAGGTCTCAAAAATAGCCTTATTTCCCTTATGTGAGGTATAATCGATGATCTAACAAATGTAGACCATTAGGCCCTTTTAATGCTTCCATACCTTGAAATGGCGATGATTTTTGAGGGGGAGGAAGGGTTGGTGATTGTAGGGCATTGACGTTTGGGGGAAGGAGAGACCATTTTACTGATTTTCCCTTTTAGAAACTGCTTCATTTAAAAGCTCTTCTTACTCTTTTGATTAGCTTCCAGCGACTCACATTCCTTTGAAATTTCAGAGTACTGCTATTCTTGTGTGGATTTTTTTTTTTCCAGTGAGGATTACATTGGTTTAGTTCACTAAACTATGAAGTATATGGAAAACATGTTTTTTAGAATCTGTCAGAATATCTGTCTTAGGGAGGAGTCAGAACTCCCAAGAAGGGAGTTATCTCGTGTCTCCTGGAGAGGGAACAGAAAATCATTCATCATAATTTTATATATGTTTATAACATCATTTATTTCTTCCTCCTCTTCTTTTAATCCATGGTTGATTTAGGCAAAAATGAGTGTAAAGTTCTGGGACTGTGGGGAGAGCTAAAGAAACTACATTTGTAGCTTGAAAAATTTGTAACTAAGAAAATAGCAAATAAGTTATTAAATATTCCCTAGATTTGAAGTCTCTTTTTCTAGCCTAGCTTATGGCTTGCTAGACTTGACCATTATAATTATCACCACATTGTTGATGGAAGCCTGCTTTGTGTTCTCAGTATGTCCTGTGTTTCTGCCTTTGGGTTAATAGATAGAGATGGTTTCTCTGATAAATTCTTTATGCTTTGGATTCATTTTTCTAAAGTATACATAGCCATTGATATAATTAGCATTTTGCTTAATTGTTTGAGGGTAGAATTGAAATCTAATTTACTTAGCATTCATCCATAAGAGATACCCATGAAACAGGCCATTAAAGGGAGCTTTATTTATATTGCACTGTATCATAACAAATTGTTGATTATGTCCATGGACTGTGCCTTTCCTAGTGATTCCCTAAAAATATATCTGGGAAAGATCATGCAACTTTTCTTGCATTACATGCAGAGGAATTTCTGTCCTTTTCTGCACTTAGGTAGTCAGCTTACTGAAGGTATTAATTTCAAGAAGGCAAACTCTGATTCAGAGTATGTTTGGAAATGGATATCTCTAATCATTCATGCAGAGTAAGGTTTGATCTTCATCTCTATCTAGCATTGCACTCATAAATTTAGAAAGTGCTATGTACTGAATCCACCTCAACAAAAGACTGGTACTGTAACATAGGCTTCGGAGAGTAAGTTACCCAGAGCCATTGGCAGGATCACTGAGGTACAAGGAAGTAGGCGTGAATCCAGTCCATTTGATAGCATGATAAACCAAGTAAGATGAAATGGAAACCATGCATTTTTATACACTGATGAGTAAAACCAGCAGTTTTATTTATTTATTTTTAAAGATTTTATTTATTCATGAGAGACACAGAGAGAGAGAGAGAGAGAGGCAGAGACACAGGCAGAGGGAGAAGCAGGCTCCATGCCGGGAGCCCGACGTGGGACTCGATTCCGGGACTCCAGGATCACACCCTGGGCCGAAGGCAGGCGCTAAACCTCTGAGCCACCCAGGGATCACCAAAACCAGCATTTTTAAAGAAGAAATCATTCTAAGTCAAAGCAGGGATCAGTAAACTTTTTTTTTTTTTTAATGGCCAGATAGTAAACACTTAAGGCTTTACACTTAAGGCCATAGACTCTCTGTGGCCACTACTCAGCTTTGCCATGGTAAAATGGAAACAGCCATAGACAATATGTAAGTGAATGAGTGTGGCTATTTTCCAGTGAAACTTTATTAAAAACGAGTGGCAGGCTGGATTTGTCTTACAAGCCCCAGTTTGCAGACCCTGATTATAAGCAACAGAACCACTTGGAGGGCCCGTTAAAACACCAATTGTTAATTCCATCCCATTTCTGACTCAGTAAGTTTGGGAATGGGGTTCAATTATTTCCATTTCTAACAACTTCCCCAGGTGATGCCAGTGCTGCTCTTTGGGGGTCCACACTTTGAGAACCAGTGAGCTAGAGAGAAAGATTAGAAACATCTCTTCAGTTATTTGTTTTCTGTCCTTTGGCAGGGAGACTGAATATGTTAAAATTTAGCGTTGCCCTTATAAAATTTCAGGCAGTCATTGTTTTATAGGAACTTTGTTTCCATCTTGTTCACTCCATCTACCACAGTCTCCTTATAAATAAGTTTTCCAAACTCGAAAACCTTCGTGCGCGTTTTTCTTATCAGGGTACATTCTGCTCAGCAGTCACTGCTCCCAGGATTCAAGTTTTATGGTGGACAAGAGATAAGTAACAGGACAGATTCCTCCCTCTTCGTTTTTAATAATAATAGCCAGCACTCAATAAGCACTGTGGCCCAAGCATGGTTTCAGGTGCTTTACATATACTAATTCATTTAACATGCATTTCAGAGTGGGCAGAGAAATCACAGAATCCTGATAGGCTAGGGGTGGTAAAATGAATCTGTTATGTGTTTCTCTGTCCCAATGTGTGTCTTCTCTCTAGTTTACACTCATTGCTTCCCACTTCCTTCTCATTCTGGCTTTCCGCCCCTGAAGGAGAAGGATAAAAAACTTTCTTTCAGCTGAGTCGGGGGACTTTCTTGGGCAGCAGTGACTGCTGGTGACATCAGCATGAGTAGCCCTCCGTGCTGGGGGGCTGTGAGGAGGGCCGCACCGGCTGTGAGGCCCAACTGACCTGATTCTAATTGCCGACATTGAGCTGATGTTATTCTTGGCTCAGGACAGAGCGATTACTCAGTAGTTTCTGTTAAAGTGATCCTTTGTTAAACTTCTGCTCCCAGCCCCCCTTTCTTTCCCTCCCACTCTCTTCTCTGCCTCATCCAGACTGAAAAAAGACCAAAAAGCAGAAAAATTAAGGACATTTTGATGGCCAGGGCAGAACTGCTGAAATGTCTTTTAACAATAGAAGGGAGAAAGGGGGGATTTTAAGTACATCTTAATTTTTCACTGGTTCCATTCCCTATCCAGAGCCATTCAATTTTTAGTAGACTTAATTTTGAACATAGTGAGATAACTCAAGGTAACTCATAGGAGAAAACTGTACATCCTGAACTTTAATCCTTCCACTCCATCTTGTCCTCTACTTCCCCCTTCCCACCATGCTCCCTTTGCCAGACTGACCTAGATTCAGTAAGGGCCAACAGAAATGAATGTTCCTATAACAAGTGGGGGGGGAGGGGCAGCTCTGGGTTCACACCAAGGGGTCTTTCAGTAAGCTAGTACATCTTGAGTGCCATATG